CAGTTAAAGGCAAACAGTCAGTTTTTGATTCAAATGAATCTATTAAAAGATTTAAATAAATGTCCTTTGTGAAAGTCGAACAAGGACTGTATAGCCTTTTATGCTAGTATACCTCTGGCCAAATATCATTACTCTAGAAGATGTTGTCTAAAAGTTTTGAACATATTTGACCCCTGTGACCTTAAATATAGGTTAAGGTTATTTATTTGCAAACACTTGGTAGCCCTTCATCTCGGAGTGTTTATTAGTGTATCAGTAGAATTCGTTTAAATATTTCAACATATTTGACCACTGTGACCTTGATAAGCGGCGAAGGTCATTCATTTGAACGTTAATGTAATAACGACGAACGTCTTTGTCCATGGAACCCTAATACAAATGATAGGAATCTTTGTACAGAACAGCGTATTGTGCACACCTGAACGTTAAATGGAACTAGTGTCAACAACTCAGGTGATTCAAAGTTTAATACTCGAAGAATGAGCCTTAGGCTTTTGTGTTATCAGTTGAGAGTAGCGTGCTCATCTAATGACAATTAGCCCGATAAGGTTAAGAGAACACCGGGATAGGGATGGGAATGATTTACCTAAAATAGTAACTTCTAATGGTCCCCCCCCCCCCCCCCCCCCCCCCCCCCCCCCCCCCCCCCCCNATTGTGATAATTTTGTTTTTGTTTACGTCCTATTAACAGCTTAGTTCATGAAATGCATGAACCAGTGATAAGGGTAAATATACATGGTGTCCTCGACCAAGATGAGAAGGTATGCTATCAGTATCCAACAAGTGTTACACCTGTTTTCGAAAATGTATCAACATGTTTAGATTACCTAACAACAGAGGATGTGTTTCGAAGGATCTAGCTTGCCATAGATACTTTAATATTCAGGTTGATGTTTGTATTTTACCTTTTTCGTTATTTTCTATGTCATTCCCTTTAACATGCTATTTTCATATGTTAATTTGGCCCTACTGACCTCCTCCATGTTATTAGGTCGTAACAAAGGAAATAATGATCGATAATAACCCAATCCCATTTACATCTACAGGAAGTAGAATTGTACATGAATCTAAAGATAAAGTGATTGGATATGACAGAGGGTATAATTCATACCAACAAACAATCTCAAAGACAAAATAAATCCAACCAAATCTGAACTTACTCTCAATGAAAACAAATAAAATACAAACAAACTTATTATTTCTCCCTTAAACTTTAGAAAACGGTACCCTCTTCGCAGGGGAAAAGTTGACTCGGAGGAAACGGATATTGAAGTTTCCAACACTTCAGGTTCCTGGGGAGTTAAATTCATAATATTTACCAATGTGGTTCGCCTTTGGTTTAGTAGTTTTGGGAAAGAATTCAAAATGTGAATTGTGAATTGTGAACGGACGGACGACGGACAACTGAAACAGGTCAACTGAAAATTTGCATAAGGTAACCTAAAAAACGGTGAACTCTTAACTTGTCACGACATAATTATCTATTAAGATCTTTACAGACAAGACATTTTCATTTAGTATTTTTTTATTAGTTCTTATTCAAATCTTCACTTAAAGCAATTGTGTCTGACGGACACATCAGTAAATAATAGAAACACTAATGGAAACGCACAATAATCAACCCAAGTGGGCGTATATGTGTGGTCAGAACTTCATCATGTCTACAGGCATTTCTGGCACTAGTACAGAAGGGTTGGATCATATTTAAACAAAGAAACGCTAAGTGATCAACTATCGCTCTAGGTATAAGCTATATGCGCATTTTCAGTTTAAATCGTCTGCCCGTCTGGAAACACTAGCATATCTCATCATCCAGCATAGGGAGAAACAACTCACTCCAGGAAAATGGTTCACTTCTTCGCTCTCTGCTTAGTCATCAACTTAATCGGGGCTGTTTCGAGTAGTGAGAGTTCCTCGGAATTTGCAAGGAGCAAAATGAACAAGGGAATATCTGACAATTTCGAAATGGCAGAACCTGGTACGTATATAAACTATCATTGAAATTGATAATAACACACGATTGTGCTCGTGGATCATTGTTATATATCAAAGTGGTGAATTTCACCGTTTATCATGTTGTAAACACATACCGACACTTTTGGGTTGTCTTACTATGTCTGGTCTGACCCGGTTGTATTTCTCTCTACTTCTAACTATATTTTGGTTCCTGGCGCCTTGCTTGGTCAAACCTCACATTTGACTTTAATATTGAACGTTCGCCCAGGTGAGGAGGGCAATGGGTTCCATCTCCATGCTGAGACATTCCATAAAAAGTCCATAATAAGTTTCTTGCTTAACATTCACTTCCTGTCATTTTAATGTGACAGGGCGGAAAGCTGTACTGTGTTATTTCAGTGAGATAGCACTATAAAGTCGGCATTAGATCCGCGCATAATGAGACAAGTACACCAACATACCCTGCCTCTTACATACTTTACGTGACATGCTATATATCGAGGCTGATCATCGCACTACAATACACAGGAAAGGTTAATGTATGACAGAATCCCCCCCCCCTTTTTTTATCGTCTGCCGTGCATTTGTAAACTTTACCTACAGTACCCTCTTTCGCGAATTCTTAAATTGAACATGTTTCTATTTATAAAAGTTCAAAGCGACATGAATGTGTTATATATACAAGATAAACAAGATACAAGAAACTTTATTTAACGTCGCATACAGGTAAACAAGGAACATTAGCTCTTGAGAGCTATTATTGCGAGAAACATATGTAAAAATAACAATAACATATTATATTACAAGTGAAGGGAGATAATCACATATATTAATTATAAAACAGTAATAATCATCACATAAAAAGAAAGTATACATATCCCAGGTTTCTAAGTGATTATATATGACGTCAGAATCATTTTGTTTTTGGTTTTTTGTCGTTATTGTGGTTCCCATTCACTTTTCACTGAACGGTTCGGAAGTTGCACTAATTCAGTCGTAGCTATATTTTTCACCTGCTTTCCCAACAGATAAATATGACCACACTGGACGGTGGCATTGGGTCATGTCATCCTCAGGTAAGTCCACTTCCGTTAGGGTATATATATTTGTCAGTGTCTAATGTCAAGGTGGTATTTGACTAAATGACCCTTTAAAATGTGTACAATAGAATCTTCTCACATGCTCCTCTCTAGTTGGTTGGACTTCCTATTAACTGCTACGATCCTTTAAAGACGTGCATTCATGTGTTGTGTATGTGTGCTGGAGGCAAGGCATGTTGGTGTATTTGGCTCATTGTGATAGCGCGGATCCGATGCCGACTTTATAATGCTACTGTATCTCACAGAAATACCATGCCGAAGGCACCCAGCACAGCATTCCGCCTTTTACTGTCAACGGGTGAACCAGTTATTGCCATTACCCTTAATGCTGAACGTTAAACAGGGAATAACAACTATCCTTTTAAGGACTTAGGTATGTCCCAGCCAGAGGACAGAACCGCTGCCTTCCTCAATTGAGCAATCGTCCAACATCAAAGCAAAAAGTAATTGTCCAGCAAGCGCTAGGCATTCATAATAGATGTATGTATAACTCATCTGTCTCCATTTATTGTTTTGGGAAAAATCGAGGATGGCATGCATGACGCTGAACATCACATGGCGCTTATACCTAAGTTTCTTGTTTCGACTGTTTCTTCTACACAAGACTCCGACGGACACCCACGCGTCCCCTCTCCACCTGCAGGTGATGGTTCATCCTTTTCTTCCTCCGGTTCAACCACTTCAACTACAACATCTACCACGACAACTACCCCGACCATCATACTTTGTTTTGCATATACTTAGTGGAATTCAAGTGATTTCAATATCTATTTTGTGCAATAATGTATCAATAGCCACATGTTTAATTAAAATCGTTACTTTTTAGAAAATGAAAATAAAATTAATTCTCTTTGTCTTGCAGATTACAAGTCAGTTGAACGGCAAATAAGTCCGAGGGTTCCTCCTCCACCAGCTCCTGGTGGTTCAACGTCAGAAACTACCACAACAACCACAACAACCACAACGCCCGAATCTACAACAACTACCACAACAACCACAACACCTTCCAGTACAACTACAACACCTACCAATACAACTACAACACCAAACAGTACTACGACTTCTACGCCCACCTCTTCCTCGTCCACAACCACGTGGTCGTCAAGCCCGTCAACATGGGTGACACCAATCACATACCAGCGGACAACAAAAGAAGCTGGATATAATTGCGACGATGACAAATCTAAACCCTGTTCCTCTAAAAAGACGATGTTACTAATGCTGCTACTGAAGAGTGATACTGTGGTGACGATTGGAAAAGATGGAAAGCCGCCACCGCACAGTGACTACGCAAAGATGATACCAGATATCGCTCAATTGAATTTGTAGATAATCAACACAATGAACCGAAATGCCACGCGTAGTTTATTTCTGATCAAAATCAAGGAGCAAACATATCGTGTTGTTTTATGTGATGATCCAGCTGTAATCGCTGTCTGTTTCAATGGTTATGAAAATGTCAGTGACTATTATTTGATCTCTATGTATTACAGTTTGAAATCCTAAACTCCTGTCTATAATATCTCCAATGTAAGAGTGTTATTCCGTCTTTGCGTATTGCAGATTTATCTTTAGGAAATATTTTAAGTTACAATATTGTCATTGATCAATGCTTTATATACAATTAAGGTTTTACACGAAAGGATAATAAATATAGGCTAGAGCAATGCGTGTTAACCATCTAAGCGTTTTGAAACCTATAATTACAGAAGGGTATCTATTCCGTCTTTTCGTATTGCAGAGTTATCTCCTCTTGTGAGCAGGTATTGATTGTTACGTCATTTGTTTGTGAGAGTAACGTCATCAATTTTTGAGAAAACGACGTAATTTTCTCACACGAACCAATGACGTAACAATCAATACCTGCTCTCAAGAGAAGATGACTCCGCAATACGCAAAGACGGAATTAGCTTGTTATAGGTAACGTGAATTATTTAGACTTACCTGAAGACGAAGTATTTCTTCAACCATACCATGCATAGATAGCTGTCTCTTTACTCTACTTTGAAAATGTGCAGCGCGATGAGGCCGGCTCTTTGTCATATCCTCCAATACATTTTTCAATTCCTAGTAAAAACAACAATAGCATGACTTTCATTAACACCGGGCATATTAGTTTTTCACTTTCAATATCAATATCGCTACCAATTACTATATTTTCTATGTTGTATGTCTAATAAATAAGGAACGAATATACACGCTAAACTCTGGCGACCGTTGAATTTTAATTTACTAAAGATGTTATTTCTATATTATTTGTAATGAAGCACAGCCATATTGCCAACTGTCAATTTATAGGCTTAAGTTGACAGGTGCTTTCGGAAGGCGACAATTTTCAGCCAATTTCAAAGATATATCTTCTTCTTTCGACAAACCTTCAACAGTTTGTTTACTTGGGTTTTAACTTCCTCGCAAAAGCTAGGACATATGCGGACAGGTATATTTTATTAAAGTTGATCCTATCCCCGTTTTCAGTATGATATGACTGTATTGACAATTGTGTTTGATGCCTTTGACACTGTATTCAAGTAGTGAGGAAACAATAACATAATATAGGCATCCAATCAGTGTTATATACCGGAGGCAGATACAGTTTACCGCCTCCATTTGTTTGTTTGTTTGTTTGTTTGATTTTGTTTAACGTCCTATTAACAGCTAAGGTCATTTAAGGACGGCCTCCCCTGTGTGCAAGATGCATGCGTGTAGTGTATGTGTGTGTATTTTGGGAGGCTGCGATATGTTCGTGTTTGTCTTCTTGTAATAGCGCGGAACTGATGCCGACTTTATAGTGCTACCTCACTGAAACATACTGCCGAAGACACCCAGCAGGACGCCCCACCCGGTCACATTATACTGACAACGGGCGAACCAGTCGTCCCACTCCTTATTTGCTGAGCGTTAAGCAGGAGTAGAAACTGCCATTTTTAAAGACTTTGGTATGTCTCGGCCAGGGGACAGAACCCAAAGCCTTCCTCAGAGGGGCGAACGCTCAACAAATGGCCAAAAGTGAGGCATTGTCAGGGGAGACATTAGGAAAAAGAAAGTTATTTAGAAAGGAGAGAAGAGATAAGGTCCCAAATTTAGTCGCCTCTTACGACCGCCTCCAGGACACATATATACATTTCACAGATACAGATAGGTTTTTAAATGATTTTTGTTGTAATTTGACCCTAAACCCCAAAAAACAAGGCACAGTGGTATAACGTTTGAACAAGAGTCCTAATGGGCCTCCCTCGCTTACTTGGTGTTATATTACACACGTAACTTAAAACAGGCACATAGGTCGAATATATTAAAATGGGTTATATTAAGCTACAGGCAAAATATCACCACCATCTGGTTGTTTAAAAAATCTGTTTTAAAGAATTATTTACACATTTGCACTCTGTGAACTTGAAAGTGACTAACGTTCGTTCATTTGAACAAACTCGGTAGCCCTTTATCCGGACATGTTGTTAGCAAACTTAAAAGATATTTTGCCTTATGTTTAGGTTAAATTAAATTTGACACCTGTGACCTTTGAGAAAATTTACAAATTTGATAGCCCTTTATTAGAGCATCGTTTTGATTTTTTTTGACCCATTTGACCATGGAGAAGGGTCAAGGTATTTCATTTGATTAAAGTACGGAAGTCATTCACACAGGCAGGCGACTTGCCAAAAACATCATCACCCTAGTTACCATTTCGTCATTCAGAAGAAAAACGTTTGAACTGTTTTTATCATTCGGTCTTGGTGACATTTATAGTCGATCAAAGAACATTCATCCCAACAGACTACTGACCAAATAACATGAATGAAAAAAATATAATAAGAGGTAGTTATGATTTATTTTCATTTTACATGAAAAAATGCCGCAAATCTTGATTATGTGATAAAAAGGATCTTATACTCGTTTTCATTTCATATGAAATTGATGAAATTTTTCATTTTAGCTCGCCAGAGGCTTGCTTAAATGAAAATTCTTAGACTCGTTTCATAAATCTCATATGAAATGGAAACTCATGTAAGATCCTATTTATATATGACAAAAGGGACCTTGAAAGTTGGTCTAGGTCATTAATTAAAACAGTTGTTGTTGCCATTTAACCATGCTTGCTGCTGGCTAAATATCATCACCCTTCACCTGTTCGTTATTGAGAAGAAGTCGTTTAAAAAGTATTGACGCCGGATGGACGACGGATGCCGCTCAACGGCATAATCCCTTCAGGTGAGCTAACACTACCGTTGCATATTGATGTTATTAAGAGACGCATTTTAATCCGTAAGTAAGACATACCCCAATGATCTGCTCATCAGATACTTCGGAGTTGCATCTCCCCTGAAGAATATTCATTCGTGAAGTTTCATATTCGTACTCTTGATGGAGCTCATTGGTTCGATGTAGTAGTAACAATGAACCAATCACAAACAAGATAGCATGAATGAGCAGAAATGAAGACACTGTAAATCCTTTCATTATCATTTTCTCCACATACACATAGAATATGGAATAATGTATGTATACGCTTGATAATGTACTGAAATTGTCTGATCTGTTGATAAGAGGAAATAACCTCTTGACCTTTAGAATGATAAGAACACGCGTGTGTATGATTTCACACCTCTATGTAGGTCACAGTGTTTCTGTAAATGTCAGATCATGTTTCTGTTGTAATTCTGTACTTACCGATAGTTAACTTTAAAGGACGTTCAGAATAGCGACAAAAGGGCATATTCATTTTGGGTTTATCTGGTATTTTAAAGGATCTAATTGAACACTTTAATAATATCCGATCAGGTCGTCCATCCCTTTGGAGTTCGTAAAGTCAGGTTTTCAAAAGAAATAACTCAATCCTGCAGGGGGGTTAGCACAATCCACCCACGCATTGGGTAACAGTAGACTGATTTCTGTTTTCTCCCACACTTGTCTGGGAAAGACAGGAATCCACCCGTGAAACCTGTTTTCTCCTCGGGAAAGACAGCGTCCGCACGCTATGATGTCGGCGTTGGAAACAGTTCTGTTGTGTTGACTGCGAATTATTTGTGTACCTGTTATCAGAAATGTTATCTTTAACTGATATGTTTCAGTTGTTTCTTTTTAGATAAAAAATGAAGTAAACTGTGCTGTTTATAGATTTCTGATTTTAACTTCAGGTTTCATCAAACCTATGAATTAAAAAAGAACTAAATGCATGCCCGCCTGTCGTGGAGGAAGAGCATTCTAACCCTCGTGTTGAGATTTCTCTGTCTACGGACAACACTCATGGTAAACTCTATTCATTAATCATTTCAATTATAGCCATCGATATGAGCAAAACAATGCTTATTAAGATAATGTATTATGATAACCGGTAAAGCTGAAAATGACTGGTCAACTTTTAATTTTCATGTCGAGTTATAACAAGAGGTCCAATGGGCCTGAATCGCTCACCTGCTATTAATCTCACAATCTTAAAAGTGAACAAAAAAACAGCTACAGGCAAAATATCAGTGTTCGATTCATAAGAACCTATTAAAAGATCTAGACGCCTGTGACCTTGAAAGTCGAACAAGGACATTAAGTTGAACAGAGTTATAGCCTTCCATCCCAGCATGCTTCTTGCCAAATATCAACATCCCTGGCCTTTTGGTTATTGAGAAGAAGTTGTTTAAAGGTTTTTAACATATTTGGCCCCTGTGACTTTAAACATGGGCGAAGGTCATTTGTTTTATCAAACGTGGTAGCCCTTCATCCTAGCAGGCTACTGACAATATATCAACATCCTAGGCCTTTTGGTTATTAAGAAGAAGTTGTTTAAAATTGAACTGGAATAGAACGTGTTTTGATGCCGGTTCACAGAGAGTATATTTCTTAATGTTAAGTAGGTATTAGACCAGGAAACAGAGCCGGTTTACAGAATGAGTTCGACGTTTCACCGATGAAGTTATAGAATTCAATACCAAATATCTTTGCCGGTTTACACAAAGATCAAGATCGAACAAATTCAGTTATTCTGTCGATATTCCGAGTTATTAAGTCGAAGTTTTAAATTATTATCTAGAAATTACGAGTTATTATCTTGAAATTACGAGCTATTATTTCGAAATTTCCAGTTATTATCTTAAAATTTCAAATTATTAACACGAAAAAAATGAAGTTAATTTGTTCTCGACATGGCCCTCATGCCCCTCCGTATATGCTACTGTACAAATACACATATTCAATGGACCCTTCCATCCTTTAAAGGGCAGTACCTTGCAGGTTTGATTTTCATTCCTTAATGTGAAGTAATGGTCAAATATACATTTATAATCAGTCTGTCTTCTAGTATAAATATATTTTTACCTTTAATCCTTTGACAGCGCATTTGCGTGATTCCTTAGTAAACAAACAAACCATTGCACAATTATCGTAATACTGTCAACTGACTCCGGTATTCCGTCTTTGCGTATTGCAGAGTTATCTTTTCTTGTGAGCAGGTATTGATTGTTACGTCATTGGTTTGTGTGAGAAAATTACGTCGTTTTCTCAAAAATTGATGACGTTCCTCTTACAAACAAATGACGTAACAATCAATACCTGCTCACAAGAGGATATAACTCTGCAATACGAAAAGACGGAATAGATTCCCTTCTGTAATTATAGGTTTCAAAACGCTTAGATGATTAACACGCATTGCTCTAGCCTATATTTATTATCCTTTCGTGTAAAACCTTAACTGTATATAAAGCATTGATCAATGACAATATTGTAACTTAAAATATTTCCTAAATGTGATCTTATTACATGCTTTTTGTGCACGCTTTATTCGGTGTTATTGTTTTCAGTTTTATATCCCTTGTCCAGACTCGGAGGGAGAGTAGGCTTGTTAGCCTCCACTGAATGTAAAGGGGCCAAACTAATTGCTGCTCATACAGAGTAATGGGTATTATTTTGTGTCATGTGCTAACGGGCCTTTGAAGGCATTTACTTAAATTAGTTGTTTCGATCATGTTAAACACTATGCCAAAAAACAAACTTTGAAAGTGTTAATTTGTATACCAGCTTGACATTTTCGTTACGGTGTATTGTTGGCTTTGTTCGCCGCCCCTTGTGAAAGTAAACAACATATTAAAGTTAAACAATAAAGTTATTAATTGTGAAGGGCGAATTCACACTGGGGAAAATTGTTTGGTTTGATTTTGTATCGTCTTATTTACAATTAAGGTCATGTAAGGACGTGCCTCAGTGTAGGTTGTGTATACGTGTGTGTGTGTGTGCGTGTGAGAGTGTTAGTGTGAGTATTTGTGTGTGTGTGTGTGTGAGAGAGAGAGTGTGTGTGTGTGTGTGTATGTGGGGGGGGGGGGGGGGGGGGGGGGGGGGTGAGTGTGTGTGTGCGTGCCGAATACAGGGTATGTTTGTGTTTTTGCCTCCTTATGCTAGCGCGGGTCTGAAGCCTACTATAGCGTGCTACCTCACTAAAATAACATGCCGAAGGCACCCAGCACAGCATCCCGTCCGGTCACATTATACTGACAACGAGTGAACCAGTTGTTAAGAAGGGATTAGCATCTACCATTTTTAAGGACTTTGGTATGTCTCGGCCTGGGAACAGAGCCCATTGCCTTCCTCACCTGGGCGAACGTTCAACATTAGCTAGGCTAGGAAATCAAAGAAAAATAGCACTTAAAAGTAACAAAGATCCAAAATGTTTGAAAGGGTGCAGCAGATTTATTTTTGTCGCTTTTGTGTCTCCCAGGGAGAAGGCATAAAAGCAAATCCCCGATTCTTCAGGGGGTTTCCACATTAGTCACCTCTTACGATACATGCATTGGGTCACAGCAAGTATATTCTTTTCTCAATCCTGCAGGGTGTTAACAGTATGCAACTGTCTAGATCGCTGTGAGTTCAGAAGGAAAGAAAGCTAACAGTACTGTTGATGGTTGCCTGTTACTTGTCTAATAATCATCTTTAAACACGCAACCGTACATCGTGGTTTTGACTGACTTACCATTTACAAGTGTACAGTTATCTTCCATTAATAATCAGTTTGTTAAGTTAATAATACTGGCTGAAGAAGTAACAAAATAGAAGACAAAATAGTGATCGGTTAAGTTAGCTTCTTAATGTATCACACCTTGAATTTTAAATTGCAGTTTTTAACAAGTAAGGAAGGATGAGATATGTGTTACAGGTAATTCACTATTTTTGTTTCAAAATATATGCGTTTTAGGCATATCTTCATGTCTAAAAATTGTCTCTCGTTTTTAAGTCACAGACGTGAATGATACCTGATCACGAGCTACGATATTTATAACGCCAACGACATGTTTTGCGGACACCATGTCGAATCACACCAACTTCTAAGAGGAGACATTCCCGGTTACAGACCTCTATCGGAAGCGAACGTGAGAATTGTGCTATTCCCAGAGATCTATCAGGCCGACTCTGGCTTACTTAAACTAATAGCCAATATTTTATGTGACAAAGGGAAAGTAAATGCACGAAAGTTTCTGTTGGCTAAGTTTCACGATTCGGTGATACCATCGTATTAAGAATTCGAAGATAATCTCGATCTTACCAAAGACACGTGGATGGAAACCCTGCAGACACGGATCGGCTACACAACGAAACTGTTCAGGTTTGGTAAGAGTGAAAGTATTGGAGACCATCTAGACGAAAGAAAGGTTGATTCGATGAACAGAAGAGTCCTAAAGGACGTTATGTAAGTGTTGAAAAATTAGGTAAGGTTAAATTTTGTGTAACGTCCTATTAACAGCTACGGTAATTTAAGGACATTCCATGTGTGTAGTGTATGCGTACTTGCATGTGTGTATGCAAGAGACAGATGAAAGCGCGGATCTGATGCCGACTTTATAGTGCGATATCACTGAAATGCCATACCGAAGGCATCAAGCACAGCATTCGGCCCGGTCACATTATACTGGAAACGGGTGAACCAGTTACTGCCAGTCCCCTTAATGCTGATCGTTAAGCAGGGAATAACAACTACATTTTTAAGGACTTTGGTGTGTCCTGGCCTGGGGACATGACCCAATACCTGATACTTATCACTTCCTAAATATGAGTGTTGGGCGAACGCTCAACATTATATTAAGAATTGAGGTATTGCCAAGCAAGGAGTTAGGAAATGAAAAGGTAGTTAGAAGTAGAAAGAAAGTCAAAGATCCAAAGTGTTGCAATGGCTGCAGCAGATTTATTTTTGTTGTTTTTGTGCCCCGGAATAGAGGGCACAATAAAACGTTGGGTTACATGGTGTGAAATTTGAGAATGATTACTCCAGCTGTCTAGAGAAATCTAGAGAACAAACTTTCACCTCAAAATTCAAGTCGGCCAATGGGGTTTTCTGATCAGTCTCAGAATGCTGGATGCATAACTAAGGACCATGGGGAACTATCACGTGAAAAGATCCTTCCTGTTCTTTCTGAGAAAAAGCGCCAACAAACGTTTTATTTTCAAAACTCAACATGGCTGCCTAACGGTCATCTTGTTTATTTTCGATCAGGCCCAAAAACCAATATGTTTAACTAAGAACAATGGAAACCTTCGTGTGGAATTTTTTTTCAACTTTAATGATTAG